ACCATTTCTCAAGTCAGGTTCACAGTTAAAGAAAAAACAAAGATGAACTCAAGTGCTCATTTCCCTGGGTGATCAGAAATACCTGATGATCTGTGGAATGTAGCAAACTGTCCCCCCGCCCTTACCATTTTCAACTGAATTTCATCATGCACCTGCAAGATACTAGATGGGACTTGAATAGTCAGCATTTCACAACACTGGAAGAGGGAAAAAAATCTCAACTACACAGAGCTCAGTTGTATACACACATACAAAACCCTGTTTTCCTGAGATTTCAATCCAATTCACCAAATTAGAAGGTCTAATAAGCACCTAAAATTGCTTATACTGATGTGATTAAGGTCTCCAAACCCCTGCCACACATCACAAATTTTGTCATCAAATTGATTCAAATAAAGCAGTGATTGATTTGGTCTACTGTTTTTTGGAGGCCTATCAAAATTATTTCTTGATTGCAAAACAGGTATAAATTATAGCTGGTTAACACTCGGGAGTGCTCATTTATCACTTCATTGGTGTCTGAAAATGTGGCCCAAAGGCTTCTCTTTCAGACCTTTAGAGTGCAACTACTATTTATTAATGATTATTGCACTCTTTTGTAAGTGGAAAAAAGATCAAGTAGTCAATTCAGCTGACTATACTTAAATCTACTAAACCAGTAAGAACTGCAGCTGGTCCACTACTGCCATGTAGGAACAGTTTGGGGTAAATTAATTCACTTCTGGCAAATATATCCCTCCTAGTTATATCCACAGAAGTACCTGAACATCTTCCATTTACTTTCTAAGTTACCATCAAATCCTGTTTCACCTGAACTACTAAATTTCTTTCTAGTTATTGCTCCTCCCAGGTCCTTCTAGGCTCATTCTGTATATTAACAATGCCTAGCATTACAGAAAGGGGAAAAATAACCCCATACACTCTTTCCAAGTTACTCTCCATGCCCAAACTCTAACAAGGTCTCATTTTACCAGACAAATGTATACTTGCAAACAAAACAACAGAATTAACCTTAGAGGAGAGTATATATCTATATTCCCTCTCCACACTCAACACAGAGACACTTGTAATAAACCGGCTTTCTGAAGGATATTTATTGTATCATTTTCCAATTGCAGTGCAATCAATCACTTGCAACATTGTTTTTGCTTTATTAGATGCTTCTCTGTCTGTAGTAACAAGAAGGCACTGATTATCACTTTCTCCAGTCCTGAATCTGGCATTTGTCCCAGCAGTAGGGGAAGGGGATAGACAGTGTACTGAACTACACTTTCCCATCCTTGTGCAAATCGTACCACAGTTGCTTAATTTTCCTGAAATATATAAGAACATATTTTCTACATTCACTGCTGGGTGTCTGGCAGTAATAAATGAAGGCTACTATTTGGACAAACTTGTCATAATTATTTCTAGATGCCAACGCATTCCACTAAATATTCCTACAGTACTGCCAGTGTAAACACTAATGAAATAGCCAGAGCAGGCATCATTATCACTCATGTTTCACAGTGATGCCATGTGAATATGCAGGAGAGCAAACATTGCCCTCCCACAAACCCTTCTCTCCCATCCTTTACAGGATTCCTGTGCTTTTACATCAGCTGATAAAACAACTTCTAATCATCTGCACTGGCATATACAGGCACTTGGTATATTTTGAGCCAGCATTTTTGGCAATACATCCTAAAATTTAGCAACAGCCAAGGCTTTGATTCATAAACCATAAGATCACAAATAACCACACAGATACTTTCCACTTTTAATCCAGTATCTCATCTAATCTGCACATAGAACACTTCAAAGAATATGTCTTGCCCACTTCCCTTAGCAAAACAGACATTAGCAAACTACCAAGAATAGTTAAATATTTCTGCTTCCTGCCCTAATATTCTCTGCCCTTAGTTTTGTGACTGGCAGTAGCTCAATAACTCAGAATTTTATAATTTATTAAGAAATACACAGTAAAGATAAACGAATAATAATAAGTATATAGGGATTTTGTTTTTTTCTTCTAAATCCTGAATGAAGTAATTCTGTAAAAAAAATTTGCATAAAGCAGAAAGACACGGTTTTTATGCATAAATTAGCTTCACTTTTCACCATCTATTTTACTAGTAGGAAGAATCTTGCAATGTAACAGGACACAAACTTTTTCCTAAGGAAAACTAAGATGTGCACTATTTTTGAGTTATGTAAAGAATACCACAGCAGGGAAATGGTTCAAAGAGAAGACTTTTTCTCTGGCAGAGAACTGACCAGACAGTAAGTCAAATCTACTGACAATCTTAAAAATTCTCCAATTATGGGTGCATGTCTGAATTTTGCCCACAGTGTTTACATGACCTCCAATGAATATCCTAAACTACAGCCAATATTCACTAGAACCAACTACTGTGTAAACAACTGTGAAAAAAATATACAGGAAAAGCTTTGCCAAGTTTGCAGCCTGCAACTACATACAGTGGGAATTGATGGAACTTTGGCAATACAAATAGTGCCCCGAATCAGTTCCCCACACAGAGAGAGACTCCAGTGATAAAGGACACATGTAAGGCATGTTCTATTAAAAACCTGACTTACATGAAGCAGCTCATTGTTTATAAAGGCAATAGTGTTTACACAGGAAAAAGCCCAGTTTCAACAAATATGAAATCCAACAGATGTTTCCTTCTATCTAAGCAAAACAAGTTTGTGACCCATTTCTGCCCAATCAGAAAGCTTCAAAATTATTTCTGAAGGAAAAAAAACCCTCCATACTTAACAGAATGATCTTGGAAAACAAATCCCATAAAACTTGTATTTCAAAATTGCAACTATTACTAAAGTGAATTATCTTAAAAAAAAAAAAATCAGTGTTCTTTAAAGAGAATATCTTATGATCTGGATTTGAAGAGATGCAACATGATAATTTTGGTTTGTGAAAGAGAAAGTAGGGCAGACTGTTAACTCACAAGTGCTCTGCATTGCAATTACTCTCCTCAAATCAATTTAACCTCTCTTCTTCATACTTCCTGCAACACTCCTCCAAAGTTCCTGGCTGCTCTTGGCTTCTCCAAATCTTATAAGACTTCTCTTCCTCTGCAAACATCAACTAAATAACAGAAGTGGCTAAGCAGAGTATAAAAGTGGATTGTTTAATTTTATTTTACAGTATACACTAATATAGCAAGCCTAAGCACTTTCTAGAAGTGTAGAAGACAAAGAATTTCAGGCTCTGCCAAAGCTGTGCAGTTGAGACTGTGCTATTACACACCACACTTTGACTTACCAGCAGGAGAAAGTTTCAGGACTTTCAGGATGTACCTGGTGGCATTACACCATTACAGAGCAAAGCTGGAGCTGGTGACATCCTGTCACACAACCGAATGCTGCAAGGACAGCATCTTCCAAGGAGTTGGTGCACTTTCTGTGTCCAACAACACTGAACTGAGATGGATCAAAAATTGCTGGGGATTTTATCAATTTTTTTACCTTTTATACAATGTAGCTGCAGAGGTCAAACAAATTACATTAACAGCATACAAACATCAAAGCCAAAGTTAAAATAGTCTTAAACATGAGCATGCCAAGTGTAATCATTGCACGCAACCTTCTGTGCCACCTTTGCCTCCACGAGTCCCTTCTTCACTGGATTTCACTCCAATTATTTCTTGTCCAGATATTTTGTGAGCATTATATAAAGTTCCCACCTCTGTAATGTTTTATGTGCAGCACCTTCAGCACTGAGATTCCTTACCCCAGCTAAAGCCTCTGCATGCCTTGTGATGAATATAAGAAAGGAGAACTGAAATCTGGAAGCCATGCAATGCCCCTTTATTACAACCAACATGAATATCAGCACTGCAAAGGAGACCCAGTGAGATGCAATTCAAATCTGCCTATCAAACAATTATAGCAGAAAGTAGAAATGGTTTTCTCTCTCCTCCAGTAATCCTACTTGTCCTTTAAATAGATCTTAAGCATAATCTTGAACTGTCAGCATTTCTGTAAAGAAATACCAGCTCAGACCTAATTGGATTTGTCAGACAATCACAGCTCAACAATTCTCTGAGATCTAACAGCTGTGGGACAACCTTCTACATTATAATATAAGAATGTGAGTTCATTTCAAGAGGGAGTATTTCCTCTGAAATTAAGTGATAAAAAGACATAATTTGTTGCACAGAACCCTGTGCCTTAGCAACATCATGATGTGATGTGGCATAGCTGAGGTTGTGTGAGCTGCCCCATGTAGAAAATTATCTGCAGTTAACTGTTCAAACACATTGGGCTGCTCTGAATGTAGGAAAATAGGGGTAAAAAAATTACCAAGAATTATGACTTGAACAGGTAACAGCAGCATTTGAAAAGAAAACAAGTATATATTATATATAAACAAAAAAAATAGCAGAATATGTATCTTAGCTAAAGAGCAGAAATACTTCATATTCCTCTGGACTTTTCGTGTCACCTACATATATAAACATACACACAAAACTTACTCTCTGTGTCATCAGCCTCCTGTTCTGTTCTTCTGTGGGCTGGAATAATGCATTTAAAAGACAATCTAGGGGATAATGGCCTAAAGGCCACACTGTCCTCATCCTTTGAAATGATGGAGAGGTTGCATGTTCAGGAAGTACAATAAGCCAAATCTTAAAATGCTTCCAATGCCTACAAATTGTGATTTCATTAATGAAGATCTGGATTCCTTCGTATTTATCTGGATGCAGAAGAAAAGTTCTTGTACAGATTTTATGTTGAAAATTGAAGTGATGTTAATTTCCCTAATTTTAAAATAACTGTTATACAGGTTTTAACATTTGTATTTAGAAGAATATCAACTTAAGTACATCAACAAAGTTATTTTGTGTATTTGCAGTGGTAACCAGCATGCATGTGACTGAGGGATATAAACAAACTTTGCACTGAATTCCAACACATGCTTTGACCTGGGGCAAAAGCAAATTAATCTATTGAGTATATTATTATTAATATTCAGGAGTTATACACTTGCCTACCTGTTGGCTTATCCACACCAAGGAAACCAGCCTGTCCCAGAATTTTAAACACTTTATGTGCTGGAAACTGTCCTTCTTCTTCCCACTTATCCACAAAGGGATTAATCTCCTTGTCAATGATCTAGATTTGGAAAACAAATTATACAAGTTATAAACACAGGGATCCTACACAAAAACTTTTGACTACTTTCACCTAAAAACTGTAATTCAAGAAGAAAAAGAAAAAAGCAATATACAAGGAAAAGCCCACTAATTATCTTACTTCCTGTTGGATATCCTTATTTTCCACTCACCCACAACGATTACAACAAATGTAATGAGTCAACGTAAATAATTATTTTAGCAATTACTACTAGAATAGGCCATCAGGGCTAATTTAAGTCTCTCCAAGGTCTATGAAAATGGTTGTTTCCTCCATTATTAGTTACCTTTTGGGGTACAGTTTCTAGAAAGTGACAGGAAGGAAAATTTGGACTATCCTCAAAAGAACCTTGGCAAAAAAAGGTTGATCTGTTCTTGATGACCATCTATAGTACCAAGAAATTCAAGTAGAAGAGAATAATTTCCTTTGCCTGAAACATGCTCAAGGAAGTTGGTGCTGTTTTGGGTATGTCTGTAGTTAGACTTCCTCACAAGTCTGACTAAACATGTACTGGAAAGGATGACCTTCTTCCAGAATTGATAATATTCCAAATCTAGCCCCTGAGAAACTCTTGACTGTGCTACTGCTAGTGCTGCACACCTTCCAAAAGTCAGTGCCCTAAGCTGCCTGACTACAGTCCTTACTCTGTTCAGGTTGCATTGTTCCCTTGCCTTTGCAAGCAAAACACATCTGCAGTACAGCCACTACATGCAGCAACACTTCCAGGTTTCAGGGCACAAGAGTTGGATGTTTCACTCCACAAAGTTCCAGATTTCCACGGCTTTGGGAAAGGAGCAAGGTGGGCAGGCTGCAGGTGTGTCCTTGCTGCCTAGCAGCTCACCATGATGCAGCTGGTCGTGCTCACCTCTACCCACCCCTGCAGCCCAAACCAGCCTTGCCACAGGCTGCTTCTGCCACGCAGCCAAGGGCACCACATACCTCAGTCAGCCTCATGAGGGGGTCCAAATGGGAAACATCCTCCCCCCAAACTAAACCCTACCAAAACAAACACCAGTTCCCAACAGAAAGGCAATGCTTTAACCTGTGACCATGATGTAATTACTATTCTGTTTCATGAAGAATTTGTTATTTTGAGAACTTATTCCTCTTAGTCTTCTTTCCCCACTAAATAAACAAGTCCTGTGGTGCTAACTATTTCTTGAGCTGGAAATAGAATCCTCTCCCTCCATGACTGCTGTGTTCTTGAGACCCTGCAAAACCTTCTTCCAAACTGTGTATTTATTGCACATTCTTTGGAGAATTTCAGCCCATATATGGCTGCTTTCTGCCTTCCAGTTGGCCACAGAAATAAGAATACTTGAATATTGGTAATAGGAAAATTACTTTTTCACTTCTCTCACCAAATTCTGAGAAATTCGTATACTGAATGTTCAACTAATTCAGCAATTTTTATCTCTCTCCCACTGTTTTATTGATTAACACAGGCCTAATAATCAATAGTAAAAAAACACTTGGCAGAACCCTGTCTAGGAGAGCTCATATTTCTCTTCTGTACTGCCATATCCCATATGCTCAGATCCTAAGATGACGACCTTCAATGTTGAAGGTGGTGAAACACCTTTTTGGCTGTAATAGCATCTGGCAATGCTCATTGGGTAACACCCAGGGGAATGCCTGAAAGAGCATACAAAAAGTTATTCCAGTGTTTTGATGGATCTTGGCAAAAATATGTGGTGAATATACTAATATATAGTTTTGTTTGTTGTAGCTGGTACTGGGCCAAGTTTTTTGTAGCCTACATACAAAGCTACCTTTGAAGTTAGCCAGATTCTGAATGACTAAGCCACGCTTTCTGCAGGTTTGCTCCTGTGTATTTGAGTAAAACTCAAATTGCTTAACAGAACTGACTTATTACCAGGTGAGGTTTCCCACATTGAGTAAAACAAGATCTTCCTTGCATGACACAACAATTAAACCCCCAATGACAACCTCACTGCACAAACCATAACTTGTATATGGCTTTAAAGAATTTTTTTAAAAAGCAGAGTCCAGATACTGATAGCCACAGTCTCTTCTTAGCTATTGGACCATCCACTATGGTTTTGCAGGAACACGTTCCTTTGTACAACCTCATAAAAAAATAAGCCAAATTCCTGAAGGACTACAGTACTCCTCAACTGGCTGGTGCTTCAGCACTGATTACTGGGTATTGTCATCCCTTCCTAAAAAAGCTAATTGAAACAAGGAGGGGTATATTTAAAGGGTCAGGACAGCAGTGACTGAATGATCACAAAATTAAACATTTGCTTAAAACTTTGCTGAAGACAGGTCAAATAATGCTTTGTACTCACTCATCTGATTTGTCCCTTCCCTTGGCTTTAGCTATTTCCTCACATTTGTGTCCCCAGAAAAATATTTTACACTTGAACTGTAGGCACATATTATGTAGGCAGCTTAACTTAAACCCTAAGGTACCCATGCAGTGTTTGGCAATTATACAGAAGTAAGGTTTCAGCAGTATGTGAGCAGCTGGTCTGCATATTTATATATGCTTTATCGTGAGGAACATGGAAATCATGGATGCCAGCATTTAGACTTCCATCACCAGGATACCAACTATAACAAGATCTAAAACTTCTATCAGTAGAAATATTTAGCACTGCATACTACAGATGTCATCTGACAGATACCCCCAGCCATAAAAGAAATCTTTCCACCTGATCTAGCTTGCCAAATCTTCATGGCATTTCTGATGTAAAGTTGATTAAGGAGCCATATAACTTTCCCACCTGCTGAAGTACCAGTATACCACAACAAAAACTGTTATTTTTTGTTGTGGTATACTGGGCACAGTAATTCTTATGTATGGAACGGGTGTTTTTCTCAGGCTACTTCTCCACACTAAAGATGCAAACTTAAAGGACTAAGCTCTGGAGGCAGCCTTGGTTCAGCCTGCATCCCAGTATGAGCTTAGGCTGCTCTCTGGGAAGCTTCCAAAAAATGGCCTCAGGGATGTTATCAGCTGTGAATTATTAAAACCACTCTGGATACTTGCCCAATCGGAAATGGATCAAGGCAATAAATTTACTTCATGTTGAACGATGGTAAGAAAAATAAGTGTTTTCATCATAAACTGTCTTGACAAAGTTTTGTGAAAACAGCACCTGTAGCTTCCTGCCTAGGACTGGGGAAATGCCAGGGCAGGGTTGGAGAAGGGACAGAGATATAAATTCAGATTTTTTTAGAAACAGGTAATTTTCATTTTTCTTCAGGAAAGAGCAATGAAAATATTCCCCCAAATCACTGCCATAGTTTTGACTATTTTCCACTGAATCTTAGTATATTATTTAAATGAGAAAAGTAACAAAAATATATTATGCTGATACTCAGTATTTTGTGCTGATAATGTATCAGCAACTACCTAGAAACATTAGCAATTGCCATTTAATTTTGCATTCTAAAATAAATGCATTCTACAACAGTAGAAACTGTACTTGAAATAATTTAGGTACTGAAATTATGTATGGCTGTCCTTTATAACAATTAAAGATTAGTTTTCTTTATTCACCAGGATGTTTACCTTCTATCATGCAATTCAGAAATTAAAGACCACACCAGTTCTACACAATCTCTTCTAAGTACCCCTTTTAAGACTGCACAGTGTACAGTTTCAGCACACTATTAGCAAGATGATGAATTTTAAAACAATAAACTGAATTCTTTAAAAATTACACAAATTTTTACTACAGCTTCCTGTGAGTTATACCTCAGCTGAAAATAGACTAATTTACTAGAGAAGAAAAAAATGTCTAAGAAAATGGTAGTTTTTTATTAAGAAGATTAAATGGAGTCTGCGAAGCTAGGATTAGATTAAATGTTAGGAAGAAATTCTTTACTCAGAGGGTGGTAAAAAACTGGAACAGATTGCCCAGAGAAGTTGTGGATGCCTTGTCCCTGAAAGTGTTCAAGGTCAGGATGAAAGGGGCCTTGAGAAACCTGACCTAGTGACCAGCATCCCTGCCCATGGCAGGGGGGCTGCAAATAGATGATCTTTAAGGTCCAATCCAACCCAAACCATTCTATGATTCTATTATTTTATGGCATAACTGTTCCATATTATGTTAGGAGCAGCATTTTTTCTTTAAATCAAGTTACAGCAATTGAACTTAGCTCTATTAATAAAATAACCAAAGATGACACAGTTAATAGGATCTTTAATATAAAAAGCAAATAAATAAACAACAAAATACTAATGACAGTTCTTGAGTGGTTTTACTTAGACACTAATGCAACAATGACTTGAACAAGAGGTAATAGACCAGAGATTCCTTTGGTTTCCATATCAGCAATAAATAAAGCAAATAATTAACAGCCTTCAAAACAACATTTGTCCTTCAGTTTTAATCAAAACCACAAGGAGCAATGACTGCACAGTGAGACAACTCAGCATTGCAGAAACACTGTGTTGAGGTCAAGTTAGTAGTTCAGAACGATGCAAGGGAAAGCTGAGGTGGGCAAACCCATGGGCCACATTGGCGCTACCAAACCTGGACACCAAAAGCCACCCCAGGGGTGCAAGACAGCCAGGACCCCACTGGCAAGCTCCTGACTGGCCACATGTGCAGCCTGTGCAGGTCTTCTCAGGTTCTCCCCAGGAGGACCTAGGGAAGCTTTCCGTGATGATACGGGGTTGAACTGAAAAAGTTCAGTTTAAAAGTAGACATCCATTTCATGACCCTGTGAAAAACTTGTGGAAGAAAAAAGTCCTAAGTGAGCAGCTGCCCACTTCCCACATGTTGATCACCATCTTGGTTCCCCCAAGGCATGCATCCCAAGCACACCTGAATGAGTTTCTCAGAATATATTACTCATTCTTCTCACTCCTGGGCTTGGAGGTCAAAGCCCTCCTTGACTCTCTCAAGACTCTTCCAAAGCCCTAAATAAAGTTTGATGGACAATCTTTTGCCAGTAATACTCTTCAGAAAGGTAGGGAAAGGCCACAGGGAAGGAGACTGAGG